CCAATGTTTGATAGAGTGGAAAAGATGTGTAGATTTTTAAGGATGCTTTCTGGACCAGGTTTCTGTTGGGAACCTCTTCCCTTTCTAATCTCTCAATAATGACCTTCCTTCCACCGTGTGTATACTGGCTATCTTGATCTAGTCATTTCTCTGTGTATACATATTTCAAAACATTATGTCACACCAAATCAATATATAAATTATTTGTCAATCTAAATGAGTGCATTTTAAATACAATAGCATTTACAAGATTAGGAGGCTGCAACGCATAAACACTGACTTTTTAAATTTAAAAAAAAAAAACTTGTAACTAAGTGAAGAGAAATAAGGGGAGAGAGGATTTTCAGAGGGCATCAGAAAGAGATGGATTCTCTTTGAAAACTGAGAGAAAAGGCAGGGTGGTATACCTATTTAACCCAGTTCCTAGCAAGACTCTGTAAGGTCTTTGGAGATACAGACAAGAGTGTACTAGAATGTATTTGGAAAGCCTGGTAAACTAGAAGAGTTGACAGACTTTTGGAAAAGAACAAAGCAGGAAGAATCACTTAACAAAGTTTCAATATTCATCACATCATTATAGCAATTATTATTAGTGTGGTATCAACAGATAAATAAACACATGGCTCAATGGAACACAGACCCAGACACAGCTACTTACAAACACGGACAACTGAATTCTTCCAAAGGTTCAAAGGCAATATCAATGGAGAAAGGAAGGTACTGGAATAACTGGACATCCACTAGCACAAATACAAACCTTGCCCTATGGAGGGAAAATGAACTCAAGATGCATTATAGATTTAAATACAAAACATAAAACTACAAAACTTATTAGAAGGCACAGGATAAAATCTTTAGAACACAGGACTCAACAGAATTCTTTTTCTTTTTTTTGACATTTATTTGCATGCACATGTGCTTGAAGCACCATCATAGGCATTGGGACATTAGAAAATAACTTACAGAAGTTCCTTCTCTCCTTCCACCATGTTGTTTCTGGGGATCAAATTCCAGTTTGGCAGTAAGCATCCTTACCCACTGAGCCATCTCACTGGCCCTGACCTTAGCAGAATTCTTACATTTAACAAACAAAAAAAAATGTAGCTGAAAGGCCATGAGATTGAAGACAGTCTAGCTCTTTAAATTTCTACATGAACAAAACAAAGCCTAATAGAAGTGGTCAATTGGAATCAGAAACTGTACCAACCAGAAGCTGGGTGTAAGGGTCACACACTGCTGTGATTCGAGCATTTAGAAGTCTATAGCAAGAAGACTGAATTCCATACCAGCCTTGGATATATCTTGAGAACCTGTTTTATAAAGGAAAGGAAAGACAGAAGGAGGAAAGGAAGGAAGGAGGGAGGAAGGGAGGGTAGCAATCAGAGGCTCTAGGTAATATGCAACCTGAAAAAAAAATACTCACATGCCACTTACCAGAGAACTTTCCATCATGGTGGCAAAAACATAAGAAAACCAATTTATAAAGAAAAAAAGGTTTATTTATGTGCAGCATTTGGGCCTTTCAGTACATGGTTGAAAGGCTCAACTGGAGTCTGTTGTGAGGTGGGGAGCACTCAGTAGAAGAAGTGCAGAAGCAGAGAAAGAATGGTGAAGAGAGCCATGGACCTACAGTCTCCACCATGGGCCAGGCCTGAAAGGACCTCCTACTAGGTCCCACCTCTTCAAGTTTCTATAACCTTCCAATAGCAACACAGGCTGGAGAGCAAGACACACATCTGTCTGTGGAGGACATTCTTTTTTATTATTTTTCCTTATTTTTTATTTAAATTAGAAACAAGATTGTTTTACATGTCAACCCCAGTCCCCACTCCCTCCCATCCCCCCCTACCACCCTCCCCCAACTAAAACCCTACCTATCACATATCCTTTCTGCTCCCCAGGGAAGGTGAGGCCTTTTATAGGGGGTCATCAGAGTCTATTATATCCTTTGGGATAAGGCCTAGGCCCACCCCCGTGTGTCTTGGTTTTCGGAGTATCCCTCTATGTGTAATGGGCTCCCAGGGTCCACACATAAGATAGGGATAAGTACTGAAGTACTACAGGAGGTTCCGTAGATTTCCCAGGTCTCCTCCCTGAAACCCACGTTCCTGGGGTCTGGATCAGTCCCATGCTGGTTTCCCAGCTATCAGTCTGGGGACCAAGAGCTCCCCATTGTTCAGGTCAGCTGTTTCTGTGGGTTTCACCAGCCTTGTCTGGGCCCCTTTGCCCATCAATCGTTTTTCTCTGCAACTGGATTCCAATTCAGTTCAGTGATTAGCTATGGGTGTCTGCTTCTACTTCCACCAGCTGCTGGATGTAGGTTATAGGATGGCATATAAGACAGTCATCAATCTCATTATCAGGGGAAGATATTTAAGGTAGCCTCTCCTCTGTTGCTTAGATTGTTAGTTGGTGTCATCTTTGTAGATCTCCAGACCTTTCCCTAGTGCCTGATTTCTCTGTAAACCTAAAATGTCTCCCTCTATTATGGTATCTCCTTTCTTGTTTCTTCTTTCTTCCCCCAACTCAAACTTTCCGCTCCCTCATGTCCTCCTCACCCCTCCTCTCCTCCCCTTCTCATTCTCCTAGCTCCCTCACCCCACCTCCCTTGCTCCCAATTTGTTCAGGAGATCTTGTCCCTTTCTCCTTCTCCAGGGAACCGTATATGTCTCTCTGAGGGTCTTCCTTGTTTACTAGCTTCTCTGGCAGTGTGGATTGTAGGCTGGTATTCCTTTACTCTATGTCTAAAACTGTGGAGGACATTCTACATACAAACTATAGCATCACATAGCCACCAAAGACCTAAGATCTAAAATATGTTTTGAAATCTCAAAAATTAATAATAGGAACAGAGAGATGACTCAGTGGACAACAGCTCTTGACACACAAAAATAATGACCTGAGTCCAGCTATCTGGATCCCATGTAAAAACTGGACACCAATTACATGGCACGTGTTTGTGATCCCAGTACTCCTATAGTGAGTGGGAGCTGGAGACATGACTTAAATCTTGGAGGCCAGGGAGTCTTCGATAGGAAGCATGGCAGAAACAAAAGAGATCCTACCTCAATAAGATACAAAAAGAGAACCAACTTCCAAAAGCTGTTCTCTGACCTCCACATGCACACTGTGGCACAGAACATGTAACACTGTACGTACACATACACAGAAATACATGAATACATTTATTAAATCGGCAGTAAATAAAAACATGATCAAACACTCCACTAAGCACACAAAGATAGCTAATAAATACATGCTTAATCCCTAGAGATCTGTCCTTAGTCTGCTCTTCTCATTACTGTTGAACCATACTCCTATCTTCCCTGACACCATCCCAATTGCATCTGACCTTCCTTTTCCTCTCCACCTGTCCTCCTATGCACAGTAGCCTAGCAAGGTACTCCCAACTCTGAAAAGTCACGCAACCTGATTTTGTCCCCACAGACTATTCCCATCTACTCCATGCTGTGAACCTCATCTAAGTTTCCAGAGGAAGTCAATCCTAGACACTTAAATTGTCCCAAGTCAGGCAACTGCTGAGAAATGAGGCAAGATGGTAAAGAAAAGAGAGGCTTTCAGCCCTATAAAGAGGGCCGGACACAGCTGGCTACAGCAGGGTTCCTTCTACTGCTGCCCTCATCAAGCCACAGAGGCCACCAGCTCCTTTCCCCTCTCTTGTTCTCAGATCAGCAAGAAATGGACTAACCTGGGGCTTTCTATTCCTTAAGCAGCAAAAGCTTTCAAATCAATGTTAAATGTACTGCTTAATGCCCCCCAAACTAACCTCTAGTTATTTCTCTATGGAATTTGGGGGAAGTCAGGACGTACAGCTGGTTAAGTGCAGAACAGATTATCCACTTCAGAGAAGGGAAAAGTTAGTGTTGGGGGGGCTGGTGGTGTGTGTGTGTGTGTGTGTGTGTGTGTGAGAGAGAGAGAGAGAGAGAGAGAGAGAGAGAGAGAGAGAGAGAGAGAGAGAGAGAGGGCTATGTGTGTATGTATGTGTGATGTGGAGGATGAGGATAGGGGTGTGGTGTGTGTGTTAAACTGTGTGTGTGTTATGCGGTTTTGTTGTCAAGTGTATGTGCTGTGAGATGTTTGTGTGTGTGTGTGTGTGTGTGTGTGTGTGTGTGTGTGTGTGTCTGTGTGTGTGTCTGTGTGTGTGTGATGTGGGATGGTATGTGTATGCGGGTTGGGAAGAGGAATGTGGTGTGTGTGTTGTGGGCTGTGTTATGTGTGTGTGTTGTGTGATATATGTATTTGTGATATGAGGTGTGCATGAGATGTGGGTGCTGTACATGTGTGTGTTGTGGGAGTTGTGGCATAGGGATTTGGGATAGGATTGTGTGTTTGTGTGTATGTGTGTTAGACTCTGTGTGTGTGTTGTGGCATTCATTTTGTGAGGTGTTGTGTGTGTGTGTGTGTGTGTGTGGTATGTGTGTATGATGTGTGACGGAGTAGGGTGAGATGGAGTATGTGTATATGTGTATGTTGGTGGAAGTATTCAAGGTGTGTGGGGGGGGTGCGCGTGCGTGCATGGTGTGTTTTCCACAGGGAGAGATGTACCCAGAATGAAAACAGTGGAGGGTGGAGGCCTTCAGGATTCTTTGAAACTCCCAGGTGGAACCTAGATCCTACACACATCCTGCATGTACTTTTCCTGCCCAGCTGGGATATCCTGTGTTTGTCGAAAGGACTTCACAGGGAAGCCATAACCATTGTCCTTCCTGAAATCTGCCAGTGTGCCCCTCCCCAGACTGAGGCAGCCGCCCCAAGCAGAGGAAGAGTGACTTTGGAAATGCGTTATCAGCATCCTCCATGGATTTCCTCACCTCCTGCCCAGCCCCATTAGCTGCTAGCTCCTTAGCATCCTCAGACAGAAACTTAGAGGCTGGGACAGGGTCAGCATCCTGAGGCCAGTTGCCTTTGACAGTTTCCTTTCTGGTCAGGCCTGACCTCTGTGCAGCTCTGAGTACACTGCTCAACACCACTGCCGCAGGATGGAGGCCCTCGCTGGAGCTCAGACTGCAGCCTTCCACCAGCGCTGGCCAGCCCGGCTACTGCTGTGGGTCTCAGCCCTGAGTTGTTCTTTCTCCTCGCCGGCTTCTCTCCCTCCTTCTCTGGTACCCCGAGTCAGAAGCAGCTACACTCTGGGAAGGACGTTCCTCGGTCTTGATAAATGCAATGCCTGCATCGGGACATCAATTTGTAAGAAGTTCTTTAAAGAAGAAATCAGGTCAGAATTGCCATGAAATAACTCTGAGGAGCAAACTGAGCTTCTCTCAGAATGAAGATATTTCATTTATGGGTGGGAGCTAGAGGAAGGCATTTAACAGTGGTTATGGCTTGACATAGGAGGGCAAGCATGGAAGCCAAATTCTAGCCCTAAATGCTAAAGTCTAAGGTTCCTTTTGAAACTGAAAGCTGAAAATTCTTTTCTATGACTGGAGTAGCCTGAGACTGTTGAATTTTCCTACTGTTCCTCATAACGGGAAGAATGAAATATATAGAAAGCTACTATGTGGGAGACATTTTAAACATCCCAAACCCCGGGTGTTGACAGTTTGCCCCCATTATTCAGACACTAAGCAGACAGTGACTGGATTAAAGGACCCAAGGCAGACCTGAGATACAAAGACAGCATTTCAGAGCCTGTTTTCTGTGGTGTGATACTGATCTGAGGAAAATCAGAGTTTAGTTCACTGTGATGCACGTGGCTTTCACCAAAAACTGGCATTCATGCCTACCAGCTCACAGTCATAGAACATTCATCAAGACTAGGAACCAACTGGGACCAAGTGGGAAGAGCCACCACAATTCTGCTTGTTGCTTTCTAGGGAGTCAGAAGAAAGGACAGTATTACAGATAATAGGTTTGTTTGGTCTGGTGAGTGCCAGACAGGGGACACTGACTGCAGAGAGATTTTCTGGAGAGAGGATTTCTTACAGGATGAAGGGGGGGGGGGTTGGAAGGGGAAGGCAGAAGAAACAGCATCGTAAACAAGGGTGTGGGAGAGATGAGAGGTGCTGGTGGCTGAATCCCTGGGTAAGGTGGATGTAGACAGAGGAGAAGCCAGGAATGTCATACAATACTAGGCCAAGAAATGGGGAACTTAGCCTGAGAACCAGTGGCTCCCAGGTTTTTCAGTACCAAAGACCTTTTGACCTATACCCTTTCTCCCCTGCCCCCACTGCCAGAATCTACCTAACCTTCTGCCTGTAAAATTCTGTGACCAAACAAAAGGCATAAGGAATGATATGCAACCTCTCTTTTAGTCAAATATGTCTGTGACTGTTGCACGAAATTACTAAAAAGAAGCAATATAGAAAAAGCCAATCAAAAACGTTGAACATTTATCTATTTTTATTACTGCATATTCATTGTGAAAAATGATGGGCTGCCTTATGACATTTTCATGCATGTGTATGATGTGACTTAATGGTATTTACCCCATTAATTTTTCTTGCTCCCCCTCTTCCCAATACCCTTCCTCTTCTCAAATAGTCCCTCTTTATTTTCACTTAATTTATTTAAAAAAAAACTAGATTCCACATATGAGAAAATGTGATATTTGTTTTTCTAAGTCTGCCTTATTTCATTTAATGGGATGATCCTCAATTCCATCCATTTTCTGAAAAAGACACAATTTTATTATTCTTTATGGATGAATAAAACTGTGTGTGTGGCAGGAAAGACTAAATTTCACTTTTATTTTATTTTATTTCATGTATACGAGTGTTTTGCCTGCAGGTGTGTCTGTGCATCAAATACATGGTTGGTACTTGCTAAAGTCAACAAGTGGTGTCAGATCCCCTGGGACTGGCATTCCAGACAGTTGTGAGCCACCATTTGGCTACTGGGACTCCAACCTGGGTCGGCTGGAGAAGTGCTCTTATGCACTGAGCTATCTTCTAGATCTTCGGATTTGAGACGTTTTGGGGAGTCTATGTGGATATTTGCTATTAAGGATTTTTGGTTTCTGTTTTATTCTTCCTGGAGATGAAATGAAACCATAGGGCCTTTCAAATGCCAGCCAAGTACTCTATCACTGAGCTGTCTCCCCATCTCTCTCTAGGGAGCCTTTTGTAAATGCTTTGTGAAGGTTGCAAAGTTGAACGATCCCTAATTAAGACTGCTCTGTTGCAGACAATAGGGAGGATGCTGAGCTGGGAAATAACATCCATGTTTCAGGGTGATCTCACGGAAAGCCACAGGCAGGGTGGCCTGGGACTGCTCTTAGAAGAGAAGTCCAGACAAAAGGGGGTAGGAAGGAGCCATCTGGATTCAGGTCTGTGTTCATTTTGTTGACTGTTGCGATTTGAAAAGAAGTAATAGAAATATGGAAACATTGAATTTGAACTCAGAAATTTCCACCTAGGAAGCAGGGTGCAGAGAACCAAGAATATACTGGAGTGTACTGATTACTCAGAGACAGTAGCAGTAAAGATATGAATCTAGTTTAAACTAGGAGAGAAAGAAACTGCAGGATTCCAACGAAGAGCTCTAGGATCCCATATCCTCCTTCATCAAGTTCAAGATGTTTTTCTTGCAACACTGTTTCACTAGAATTCAAGACATTCCATTTGTGCTTAAAGAGGAAGTGTGCAGATGCCCACAGGAAAATATCAAGCAGGGCAGGTTGGTGGGGTCACAGTACTCTGTGCTGAGGATACTGAACGCCAACATAAAGAGGCAGAGAGGATCTAAGGGTATGGACTGCTTATCATCTGCCTCACTACCTTATAAATGATTTTCTTTCATAGCAAAACAGTAGTTAGTTATATTAGAAACATTACAAAAAAATTCAAAATACAAATCGTACAGAATTCATTCTCAATGGGCTAGAGAGACAGATCCATGGGTAAAATGCTTGCTGTGAACTTGATCCTCAGCACCCACACAGAAACTGGCCATGGCTATATGGGTTTGTAACTCTAGAACTGGGAAGTGGTAACAGATGGATTCCCAGAGACCCTGTTAAAAACAAGCAAACATAATCTTAGTGTTGGGAAGGCAGAGACAGGCAGGATCCTGAAGCTCATTAACAAGCCAGCCTAGCTGAACCAGAGAGTTCCAGGTTCTGTGAAAGATGCTGTCTCAAAAACCAAAATGGCATGTGATTAAGAAAGACACCTTCAGGCTGAAGAGATGGCTCAGAGGTTAAGAGCACTGGCTGCTCTTCCAGAGGTCTTGAGTTCAATTCCCAGCAACCACACAGTACATAACCATCTATAATGAGATCTGGTACCCTCTTCTGGCTTACAGGCAGAACACTGTACTCATATAAATAAATAAATCTTTTTTAAAAAAAAAAGAAAAAGAAAGAAAGAAAGAAAGAAAGAAAGAAAGAAAGAAAGAAAGACACCTGACATCAACCTCAGACCTTCACATGTGCATACAAACAGGCGCATCTGCACCCAAATACACATGTGCACAAAGACACACACACACACACACATGCACACACGCGCGCGCGCGCACACACACAAATACATACATGCACGTGCGCACCTGCACAAAGATCCAATTATTCTTACATACTCTGAGGGACTTTAATAGTGTGTGAAGGAGGCCGGGCGTTGGTGGTGCATGCCTTTAATCCCAGCACTCGGGAGGCAGAGGCAGGTGGATCTCTGTGAGTTCAAGGCCAGCCTGGTCTCCAGAGCAAGTGCCAGGATAGGCTCCAAAGCTACACAGAGAAACCCTGTCTCGAAAAACAAAACAAACAAACAAAAAAAAGAATTGTTTACAATTTCAATTTTATGTGTAACCTAGAAATGATGAACTTATGGGAACAGAGAGCAGAATTGTGGCTATTAGGCTTCAATGTGGGTTTTTAACAATGGGGAAACGATTGGTTTAAGGATATAAAACTGCAGTTGGACAAGAGGCATGGACTCTGTGAAGTCTTGAGGTCTACTGAGAGCATGATAAATATGGTTGATAACAATATGCTATATTTTAAAAGTTTCCAGATAGTATACTTTAAATGTTCTCAAAACAAAAATGATGAATATGTGTGATATAACATGTTAATTGGTTTAATTTAGCCATGCCATTGTGAACATACTGTATTGTGTATCATAATTGTGCATGACTTTATTTATGCGCTAAATAAATGAATGGAAAATAAATAAATAAATAAATTTTAAAAAATAGTGTGTGAAGAACATTTCTTCACATGATTAAATATTCTTCTGCATAATTTGATTTTTAATGGCTTCAGGATACTGAGTTACATCAACCAACTATAATATATTTAACTAACCGGCAAGCATGAGACAACAGGATTTTTTTTCACTTTTCAATATTATAAACAGTGATGTGCCGAACACTGCTGCAGCAAGATTTCGTGCATCTCTCTTATTAATTCCCTGTGACAAACCCTTAAAAATGGTGTATTTGGATGAAAAAAGCTAATTTTTATTAGATGTATGTATGTGCATAGATATCTTCAAATGAGTACTCCTAATTATAAAGCTCATTTTTGCACACTCACAAATATTTGATTTGATATTAATATTGAACAATAATAAATTATATATAATTACATATATTACTATTACATAATAATGTACTAGAGAAAATAATGTCTGTATATTGTATATAGTAGATCTATTAATATTTGTTCATATTGTGTATGCAAGGGGAAGGGTACTTAGTGGCAGTGTTTTAGAAATATTGACAGAGACCCAAAAATGTGGTTTACACAAGGGTCAACAGTTACTTGGTAAGACCAAAGCAAGTTTATAAGGGAAACAGCAGATAGTGGGCCTAGAAAGATCATAGTGACCTGTGTTAAGTGTAACATGACTATATCCTAAGAGCTTTGAAAATTTAATTTTGTATGCTCTGATTTATTTATGGAATATATTTATTAATACCAACCTTTCTTTAGCTTGCATTTATTCCAAGCTTTTTAAATTTGATTTTTCATGGTTTTTTTTTTTTGGCCTTTTGTGTTTCTTCTTTGTTAAGCTGCAAGTTACCTTTACCTCTCTCCTTCTCCCCCTCTCCTCTTTCTCTCTTCTCCCTCCCTCCCTCTCTTGCTTGTTTGTTTCCATGCTAAGGCTGGAACCTGAGCTCTTGACATGCTCAGCACATGCTCTATCTCCAAATACTATTCCCAGTCCTTTTGCCTCCCTCTAATGGAGTAGTTGTTCATCTTGGTCTTGTTTATCTCCTCTCCAAGCATTTCTGTTTTTAAAAATTATTCTCATTGTGCCTCAGCAGAAA